CAGGGCGAGCCTACTCCTTCAAGGTGGTGCTGCTCGGGGAAGGCTGCGTGGGGAAGACGTCGCTGGTGCTGCGCTACTGCGAGAACAAGTTCAACGACAAGCACATCACCACCCTGCAGGTGCAGACCCCGGGGGATGCGCGGCTTGGGGACCTGCGCCCCGCTCCTCTGCCTTCGGGCCTGACACCCCGCCTCCACCCCCGTCCCCTCCCCATGGCCTTTTCTCCTCCCTCCACCCCCCCCACCCCCGCCGATTGCTTGTTTTTTTTTTTGGGGGGTGTTGCGGACCACGCGGGGTCCCGGCAGCCTGTAGATGTCAAGACCCGACAGTGGGAAAGGAGAAGGGAGGGGAGGGACCCGGAAAAGTCCCCCCCCCCCAGTTCCCGGTGGAGGCCGTGCAGGTCGGGGAGTTCCCGTCTGTGGGCTCGTTTTCCCCTTCGAGTCGCTTCCGCTGGGGTACCCAGGTGTTTGCACTCTCTGGTCTTGAGTGTCAGCTCCTTTTTTTTTTTCCCCCTTGAGAAGTAGGAACTTAGCTGCGGATTAGAATTTGCGAACGAGGTGGTTTGTAACTTCAGAGCGTCCTGATGACTAAGTGTTTATGCAAGTTCCATTTTGTCCTGTTTTTAAGTAAATGGAGTGGTTTAAAAAACAAACAAAACAAAACACTGGTCTCTGGAAGGGTTTTTGGAACGACCGCTTGCTGGTGCCGGTTACGCAGTTTCATGGCAGCCTTCTTGAGTCTGACCTGTGGGTCGCTTATTCTGTGAGGTTCGTCTACCCACGTTGAAACATCATGTTGTATATTGATTGGCCAGCGATTGGTCTTCAAACTAAAACCCGAAGGACTGCTGCTACACATTTTCTTTACGGTCATAAAAGGCTGGCTTTCTTTTACAGTTATATTGGAAGAGTGTTACAATGTAATTCAGAGTGAAACCAGGCGCTAGAAAGAGCTGCGGTCTCCCTGTTCTCTTAAAAAAAAAAAAAAAAATCATCAGTTTGCACGTGTTAGAGGAAATTAATCTATCAATGTGGTTTGATCAGATTGTCCAGAGACTGAAAAGGCTAGTGGACTTGAGTTTGGTCATCTGGATTCACATCCTACTTCCATTTATTTCTATAACCAGACCGTGATCTTGGGTAAATTCCTTCACCTGTGTTGTGTGTCCCTAGGTTTCTCCAGCTGCAGTAGCCATAATGATTATATCTAGCACACAGGGTTGTCAAGGTAGATACGGAGAAGCACTTAGGACCTGAAATGGGGTGAACAGTCCTATTACTTATTACTGCTCCAGCTTGTACAATAGATCTTAATTAGTAATTGTGAAGAACACGGATGCTGCTGGAATGCATAATCTAATGGGTGTGACATTTGATGCTGGGTGCTATTATTAAACTCCTGAGTGTAGAGTTTACAAAGATGCCCTGGTTCTGATCCATGTCTCATTTTTACTCCTCTGTTTTCAAGTCTATATAAAGCAAACCATCTGAAGAAGGGAATGTCAGGGGATAATGCCCAAGCTAGTGATTCAGTGGAGCCCCTGCTCAGGCCTGACTTTAGATTTTGAGCCGTTATCTCTGCTCTGCCTCTGGAGAGCCAAAAACATTTTATTCTACACTTTCCTTTTTTCTCGATGTAAGAGAAAATGATCACAGTTGAAATCTTAAATGAAAAATGAATTTAGCTCTTCAACCTAAAAATGGCACTTTGGAGTCCAGTGCTGTGACACACTTCTTTAATCCCAGCACTCAGGAAGCAGAGCGAGCAAGTCTCTGCGAGTTTCAGGCCCTTAGAGCACCCAGTGAGACCTTGTCTCAAACGGATAAACAAGAAGTTGCACTTAGATTATATATTTCTAAGATAGCCTCAGAACTAACAGTGATGAAAGATTTTTACGTTGTGAAAGAAGCCACTGTGAACTACGCAGGAAAGGTGAAGCTCTGGCGGACCTCAGTACCAAGAACATCCCAGCTTAGATTTTTATGTAACTCGCTGGAAACCGCGTCTGGATTTCATTACAGAACTGAAGGGCTTCTTGTGTACTAACGCAAGGAAACACCACTCTCATCCCTTCCTCCTGGGTAGCAGTTCATCTCCTCTTCCTCAACACTCTGTCCCCGAGAAGTTTGCCTTGTATCATCTGTAAAACACAACCTTGTGTTGTTTTAATTTCCAAAAGGAGGCGATTAGGCATCAGAAGGTAGGAGAGGAATAACGTCACAAACTACTTACCCTCGTAAAGTACTTTGTGTTTAAAGTACAGTGTTTAAAGTACCCTTCAAAGTACTGCGTTTTCAAAACACTTTAGTGTTTTGAAAGGTGTGCGAGAAACATTAAAAAAAAAAATTGCGGGACTGACAGGAACCATAGAGAGTGGTTCGCTGTTCGGCCATTTGTTGATCCGCACCCCCATGCCTGTTGCAGACATCTTGGAGGTCACAGGCTGGGCATACAACTGAGTGTTTAACACGCCCAAAGCCCGGGTTCACTTGGAGGTAAAATGAACTGATACCATTGAAAACAGAAAGCTTACTATGCCTGGAGGGGTTCCATGCCCTTTTATGTCTCATGTCCAACAAGTTTTTCCTCTCTGGAGAGCCAGAATCTGTTTTGGTCTCAGTTCTGCCCCCTGAATCTTGGTCTCATATGACATTCCTTGAGGTAGCTAGAGATGGATATCATGACCTCTTGCGTCTTGTCTAGTAAACAGCTCTAGTCCTTTAACTGGATCTCGAGTGGCATTTAAGATCCATCCTCTTCCCTATTGTGCCGTCAGTGCACTCTTCTTTTCCTTCCTTTCTTTCCCACACCTCTTCCATTGTTGCTTAAGCTGGCCTGAAACTCGCGATCCTCCTGCCTCAGTCTCCAGAGTAGCTGGGAGCACAGATGTCCACCCTGGTGCCCGGTGATGTCCCCCTCTTCTTTGAGATGATTTGAGCTGTAGAAACGGTTGTGCTTCCAGGCTGGCTTGGACTGAACAGAGAGGTCGGGACAGCTTGTCACCTCCCCTTCTTTTTCTAACGCCAGAGTCCACAGATTCTGTGAGTGAGTGGGCTAGTTCTGACATTGATAACACTGCGGCATTTGCTGTCCGCTAAGTATCTGCCTTATGTCTCAAGAAAAGTGTATGTCCTTCAGATTCTCTATTCGTTGACTTTATAATAAAGCTTTTCTCCCCCACAGTGTGCTTGGCCTGTTAAAGGTTGGCTTGGATTCGCACCAGTCCTTAAGGCTTGTCGGTTTTCATTTTATTTCACTGTTTTTTAAGGATGGAAAAGTTTCAGTTCATAGTTTGGTGGTACAGTTATGGCTGGGAGAATGGTGACGGGAACATGCAGAAGCAGCTGCCCACATCGCACCTACGGTCAGGAAACAGACAGACGTGTTGTTAATGTATATCCTTTTGGTCTTGATTTAACCCCCCCCCCCCACACACACACATATGTGCGCGCACATTATTTTAAGCCAGTGTTCTGGACTGGGTTCTGCAAAGAAGAATAGAATGTGGAACCTACTGTCTAGATTAGCTGCTTTTTTAAATTTTCTAACCTGGGGATTTGGTAAGATTACCTTCAATGAGCCGGGCAGTGGTGGCGCACGCCTTTAATCCCAGCGTTTGGGAGGCAGAGGCAGGTGGATCTCTTGAGTTCGAGGCCAACCTGGTCTACAGAGTGAGTTCCAGGACAGCCAGGACTATATAGAAGAAGCCTGTCTTAAAACAAACAAACAAACAAACAAGCAAACAAACAAAAAAATCCGTTCAGTGTTCTCTTCAGTTCATAGAGTGAGGGGCACATGCAAAGCTTGGTAGCCAGCTCCAGTACACTCTGGTGATGCATGGCCAGAGAGGGGTTTTTCTTTAGCCATGCAGTGTCTTAGGATTGGATTTTTTTTTTTTTCCACAGAACATCCAATATCTCCCCTCCTCTTCTCCTGGAGTGGGAATCAGTTGGTAATGGAGTTTTCCTTTATGGGCTACTACATACAGTAGACACAAGTCCTTCAGTGAAGTTTCACCAGTTACTTCAGCACTGATGCTCTAACTTTTTGCCCTCCCTATGGTAGCCTTGCCCATAAGGCTTGTCACGAGATCTTTGTCAGATGTAGATAACAAAATACACTGTGTTTGAGCAGCACCCAATTCTATCAGGGAGTCGTGTGATACAATGGAAAGAAATAATAGGACTTTGAAGTTAGACTGAATTAGAGAATGGTTGTGGCAATCAACTGTCCCACCTATAACATGGGGATGCTTCCTTCATAGATCCTTTAACATGGATTACATGGCGCACAGCCGTATCATACGGAGCTCCTAACACAGTGTCTCAAACACTGTTTGGTTCTGGGCTCAGACCAGGGCTGTACTAGGCGGTTACTGAGTTAGAGCCCCATCCCTGGTGCATGTTTGTTTAATAAATGTTGAAATGTTAATAAATGTTACGTGCTGTTGAATGAAAACTTATTCATTCATTAAGAATACCACTTCATCTCTGTTGCTTTAATGATAGTCAGAAAAGGTAATGGGAATCACTGGACTTGGAATATGTTGAGAACCCATGTTGTCTTTGAGCAGTCACTACATTTATAGGGTCTGGGAAGGGGGCGTTAGTCAGGCATGAGTTCCTGAGTTTGGATCCTAACACCCTCCTGGCGCATGCCTATAATCCCAGTGCTGGGGAGTCGGACACAAGAGGGTCTCTGGGGCTTGTTGGGCAGCTACTCTAGCTAAATTGGCAATCTCCAGGCTCAGTGCAAGATCCTGCCTCAAAAAGTAAGGTAAAGGAGACTAAAGAGATAGCTCAGGTGTTAGGAGCACTTCCTGGCCTTGCAGAGGGTGGAGTTCAGTACTCAGCATCCATGTTGGGTATCTCACAACTGCTTGTAACCCCAGCTCTAAGGGATCTGACACCCTTTTCTGGTCTCTATGGGTACCTTCACCACACACACACACACACACACACACACACACACACACACACACCTTTAAAAAGGTAGAGATAGAGGAAGACACCCAAAATTAATCCCTGGCCTCTACAGCATGCACAAACATGTACCCCCTGCCCCCAGAATATAAACACAACCCCACAGTGTGTTAAAAGCTGATTGTGGTGGCACACAT